AGGGGGGCAGACCGATTAAAAAAACAAACAAAAAAAAAACTGCGGTTTCCACTCAGGTTTGCTTCTCTTGGATTAGAGCCCTTTTTCGTTGCGGGCAGTGTTTGGGTGTGATTATGTAATCCATCAGGGTATTACCATAAAGGCGAGGGGGGGGGGGGATTGGTGTGCCTATGGGCTGGAAGGTAATAGTGGTGCTACTGATGATCATCGTCTAGCAACTGCCCTAGGGCAGGAATGTTTTGTGCGCCGATGTGTCCGACAGGTGGCTAGGAGACGCTAATTGATTAATGATCAGGGTGATATATGAGCCCCCGCGGCCAGCCTAAACATAAAGGCTCAGAGCACCGGTGTCACCCTAAATCATTTCCAACCAGGCCAGTAAAACCAAAACAGTTCCCTCATTAGCATATGAAAGACAAATTGGGAGGGGGACTGTGCCTTCCAAGCGCTTTGTAGGCCGCCTATTGTCGACATCCTGAGTCTGAATTAACAGGCTAGCATTTTATGCCCGATGAATAATGACAACAAAGCTGGTTTTATAATCAGGGTCACTCGGCACTAATGAATGATTAACATCACGACGATCTAAGCCTTTGATATGGGTTGGATTACTTTTTCTACCCATGCATGGCACAACAGCACCTAGATGATTGCACGGCTTAAAATAACCTGAGCTGTATGTCATCTCTGTTGTTCTACTTTGTTGTTATAAAGCTCAATCTGGATGGATGTGTTCTCCCCTTGCGTTATAGTAACTATAACTCCTCACGTATAGAGTAGTGATCATTTCTTTACATGGTGTGTTTTTGCTCTGTACATCACCGAGCTGATGTGTTTTCCATTCACGATGGTGTCAGATTCTCCTTGATTGAGTGAACATTATTGGAATTCACCTTCCCCCAGATGATCATATTTTGCACTCGGCATTCCATATAACACTGTCATCGTCAGTGGATGTGTCCCTCTCACTTCCTCTCTCTCTCCCCCTGCCTCTTCCTCCCTCTCACTCTCTCCGGTTATTTACCATTCCACAGGGGGCCTTGCGTGACCCTCTTCATTGTTTTGTTTGGATGACTCTGAAGGACAATGGCAGTCTGGAGCCTTGGCCGGCGCTCAGCGTGTGTGAATCTGCATCTTTCCATTTGGGAGTGCTGTCCTCTGATGTCAGGAGAGCTTATGTGATCTATGTGTGACTGAAGGGGGTTTCCACCGCTGAGAGTTGGAGCCTCGAGGAGAGAGGGGTTTATTTTGTGTGAGCGCACGCAAGCGAGTTAAATCAACACATTGGGTCTGTATTAATGTGAGCTCATGACTCTCGCCGCGGGGCTGCTATACTCCCGAGCACACTCTTACACACTTGGACACTGCTTGTCGTACCTGCAATCAGTTCTGTACACATTGCACTGAGCCGCCGTGTAGGCGTGCTGCAGTCATGGCGAGTAAGTGAATGTTGCTGCACCAATGAATGATTTTAGTTGAGAGTTGAACCGCCTCCCATCAAACCCTCTTAACCGTGAGCACTTGAGCAACCCAGACCCCGGTCCCAGGTGCCGTAGCAGGGCTGAGCATCGAGGATCAGGTGACCTCTGCTTGGTGAGACCGGGGGTCCCCGAGCAATCCAGGCTTTCTAGGTGTGGTAAATTGGGTCCCATTTTGAAAGCAGATGGACTTGTCTGGCTGAGCTCCAGCAGTGTGTGTGTGTGTGTGTGTTTGTGTGTGTGTGTGTTTGTGTGTGTGTGTGTACCTGTGTATGAGTGTCTCCAGCAGTGTGTGTGTTTGTGTGTGTGTGTGTGTGTGTGTGTACCTGTGTATGAGTGTCTCCAGCAGTGTGTGTGTTTGTG